CCCGTCACGGGAGAGATAAACAACGCCTGCCAGGGAGAGACGGGCCCTAACAGAAATCAATAGCAGAGAAAGGCTACTGGGAGATTTAAATGTATTTTTTAAACACTCTGGTCAGTCATAAAGGGCTGGCGAATATTCTCTGTGTTATCAAATTCTATTCTGGGATGAACACCAGCCCCAGGGAAATACCAACCTTAAATGGTAACTGTGAAACGTGGGGTAAGATTTAAATAGCTAAACTGGAATGGATTAGAAGTAAATACTGCCCCGGTGCTGATGTGAAGAGGAAAAAAGATTCTGAGATTTTGCAATTAAAGCAGATGAGGGAACGGATCAAGCAGAAGGCTTGGGTGTGAAATGAGGCACAGAGATGAACACCGCTGCTTTTTGTGGAACTTATTCAGGTGTCAGTGGAGCTTCTTTAGAAGAAGAAGAGGCTATTCCAAGGAAGAAGAGGTTATTCCAGAAAAAGGATGAAGGAGGAAGAGGTTTTCTTTCTTAGTGTCCCTAGAAGGGCACAGGAACCAGGGCAGCAGATCTTGGCAAGCATACAGACTTGTGATAAATCTCAGCATGAGAGGCAAAATGTGATTTTAACTATTCTGAGGCCTCACTCAGGTTTCCCATTCCTTAGCTATTCCCAGCCAGTGCATAAGAAACGAGAAGAAACTCAGTTTTCACCATCTGTTTGATCAGCATGCCACATCCTTACGGGGGATGAAGGAAGAGTTGGTTCTGAGCAGGAAAACCTCAACACGGGTACAGGACCAGCAGTTTAGAAAGTGCTGGAGAGACATCGGCGCTGAGGGAGACCCGTTGGTGGTACCACGCAGAAAGATGCTGGACCCGACAGTGCTGCCTGCGGCGGGATGCCGGGGTGAATGCCAGCGGTCCCACAGCGCTGCCGGAGGGAGGGGACTTCCCAGGGCAGCGGGAGGGCAGAGGGAGATGTGCTTTGCCCACAAGAAGCAGGGTGTTTGTCTCCAAAAATCTTCTCCAGAACTGCTGGAGGATTCGATGATTCCTGAACTGGGAACACCAGTGCCACCCCGCATCCCCTGGGGTGGGTCCACAGGCTGCTGGCTCCCTCCCAGACCCAAGGAGGCGGCAGGCTTGGGATGGCTGCCCACTCTGCATTTTAATTCACGTTTTCCCTTACACCCCAAATAAATAGTTACTATTCTCCTAAAAAAAAAATGCCTGCCTTGGGCACTCACACTGTGTCCCTTTCTTTGCAGATGCAGTCCCAGAGTTGGAGGCAGATGACCCCAGGATGAAGACTACGGCACGTCCCCCAGCCAACAGCCCCGTGGTGCCCTCTCCCAGCTCCAGCTCAGAGCTCACCTGCTGTAGAGACTTCTTCACGAAAGGTAAAGGCAGTCCCTGGGCTGCGTAGTTACCCATCAGACACCGCAGGGAAGGGCCCAGCGCCTCGAATACCAAGCACGCATGTGGGAGAGAGTCAGGGATTACTAACAGAGAGAAGATGCTCCCACCAGCCTTCTGCCCTTCACCAGAGCAGCTAAATATCCCTTCATACAACCTCTCTCCTCCAGACACCTCCCATGTGCCCTGGTCCAGCTACAGCCCCGCTCATCCTCCTCACGGGAACCCAGAGCTCGGTTTTACATCTCCTCACGGGAGCCCAGAGCTCGGTTTTACACCGTCCTGCGACTCTGCGGCAAGCCCAGGCTTTGCTGAGCCAGCATTGCTGCGGCGCTCTCAGCAGAAGGATATGGAAGCCGTTCTCTCCAATCATTCTGAAGTCGTCTAACAAACAGACGATGTTTTCTCCTGCCTGGTCCTTCTTCTTCATGCTGCTCACCTGAGGGAGAGGATTCCAAGAAAGCTGCAATTAGAGACATACAGCAATTCATACTTTTTTTTTTTTTTTTTTTTGTCCCCCCATGAAAATGGTAAACAGACTTTGGTTTGGCACATTGTGCAGCTGCCGGATCCGCCTGCACCAGCACCAGGAGGTTTTTACTGGTGTGACAGAGGGAGACCAGACGGCCTCTGCAGGCACCAACCACCCTGTG